CACGGATCACAAAAAAGTGTGCGTTCTTTCAGTAAAAACGAAAACAATTCACACACATCCCTATCTGATTTGTTTTCGTTTTACTAAAAGAACACTTACCTTTTTGTGATCCGTGGACAGAATGTTTAACGATGGTTGTTTTAAAAATTCTGTAACTTGAAAAGTACATGAGTAATTTGAATGATTCTTTTACTAAAAGAAAGCTTATGAATTGGGCTTTAATATGCTAGATTTTAAAGTGCTACATGCAGAACTTCACTGAAACAATAGTCCCGACATTTTGGTTTCGTTTTTTTTTTTACTACCCTGTAGTGAAAGCCCTGTCACTCTCAGATCCTCAGATCCTTAGTTTTGAGGAAGGTATACAGCCCAGCTAAAATCACATAACATGGGGCAGGAACAAAGAATGCAACTTTGATTTCCTATACAGCTGAGGATTTTAGAAGATAGAGGGAGGTTCCTAGAAATATGGCATTTATCTCATGTTAAGAATATTTCTTTTCGAAATCAGTGACATACTTTTGCCATGTAGCCTCAATCCTGCAAAATCTTTTATCTTTGCAGAGAGAATTTTGAATTTGGGAAGGTTAGGGTTAAAAACACATTTTACATCTACTCACCGGCTCATCAAGCCTTCGGAGCAGGAACAACATCATCCCATCAAAGGCCATGGGGGTGCCTAGGATCTCAGAGTGAGCCCGTAGCAGGGCATGACGTGCCCTAGGGTTGTCCACAACGGGGCTGAAGTCCACGCTGTACTGGTGCAGAAGCCACTGATCAGCAGCCTTCATGCGGAAACAGTTGGTCAAGACCTCCACTGGCTTTCCTTTCTTGCCTGGAAGATTATGAGAAAAATGCGTGTTTTTTAATGTACAATGGAGTTTGTACACGTGTTCTCACTCAATTGTGACAGAGAGCTTTGACTTCAAACTTAAATGCTGTTAAATCAAATTAGGTTTTGCCCTTCACCGATGTTTTTAAACACTGTATACTCAGTGTGTTACCTCCCAAGTGAAAGTTGGAAAAATCACTTGGGTGGGACTCGAACCGCATAAACTATTATCAGATGAAATTTTTAAAAATGTCGGTGAAGGGCAAAACCTAATTTGATTTATATCACCTCGACGCAAAATTCCATCTTATAATAGTTTAAGCAATACCCGCTGCTATGTACATCAGATTCGAACCGGCCAACCGATCCTGTTAGCTCGGTGGTCGAGTGGTAAGACATCTGCACTAGAAAGCAGGAGGTCGTGGGTTCGAGTCCCACCCAAGTGATTTTTCCAACTTTCACTTGGGAGGTAACACACTGAGTATACAGTGTTTAAAAACGTCGGTGAAGGGCAAAACCTAATTTGATTTATATCACCCCGACGCAAAATTCCATCTTATAATTAAATGCTGTTGTTGCTGTGAGGTAGGTGCCTGTGCAAAGGCAATGCTGGATACTGAATCATTCTCTTGTCCCAGACGCTGATTTAGGGCGCAATTTAAAACATGACTAGGCACAAAATTGGGGACCCCCTTGTCCTCTATTGTCCCTTATTGAATGCAGAAACAAACTTACCTACCCACCAACATAGTGAGCTAATTAGGCCCAAGGCGTATTTTCATGGCGCCGTGGGAAAAACTGCACTAATGACAAATCGTCACCGACACCACGAAGTAACACTCTACCGTGTTAAAGCATATTTTTTTTCGATTTTCAGTTTTTTGGATTTTTAAACATTATTCATCAAGGCCTACCATTGCACGAAGTTTCAAAGCTTCAAGAGCTTTACTTTAATAATTACGCTAAGTATCCATGGCAACTTTTGCGCAAAAGTGACAATTTTCGTTTTCACGAAGTAACACTCAAGTTCTATTTTCCATTGCAATGCATGGCGCGCACTCTGCTCATAAGTGAGCAAAAACGTTTTCACGAAGTAACACTCTTCTTGTAACAAGTTGTATGAGCGCGCGCGCGCTGACCTGAAGTTGCACTTTTCTCGTGTTAAATACATTGAAGAGTGTTACTTCGTGAAAACGAAAATTTACAGTTTCGCAGCTTTTTCGGTTTCACGAACTAACACTCATCTTTTTTCTCTTATTTCTTGTTTATTTAATACACAAACGAGTGAAAAACAGCAGATTTAATAAATTCAATTCATCAAGTGTCCACAACGAGAAACCCAACTGAAAATACTCTGTCGTTTTGACGCAAACTGTTGTTTTAGAAGGCGTTCAACTTTAGTTGCCGTTTTCTCCAATTGCTAGTTTTTACTGGTATGTAGATGGGTGTTACTTCGTGGTGTCGGTGACGAAATGATCTACCCTACCTTTAAAGACAGCTTTTAGATGAGAAAATGGAATATTTATTGGCACATCAATCAGGGATTACAGGGCACCAGACCTACCTCTCTTATCAATGGGTCTGGCTGCTTTTTGTTCTCCGTAGCGGAGCTCTGTCTGTCTGCCGCGGCCACTGACTCCCCCTCCCTCAGCACCCTGGGCCCCGCCCACGCTCAACGCTGCCATCTGAGCTGTAGGGGGCGCTTCAGCTGGCATTGGTCTCAGGGCATGAGGATGGTAACTCTCGGCCATGGCCGCTCTTTGCTCCATGCTTATAGCAGCTGTGTAACAAAGGAAGTAGTTTAAACAGTGTGAGTATAAACCAGTTGGCACAAGTCAGATTTCACCCGACCCCTTTAATTGTCCCCTGTGCAGTCATGCATGAAAACTAATCCGGTGAAAATGTCACCAAAAGAGGCAGGAAGAGTTACTCTAAAAACTACATATAAAGATATCTTATCTATATTCCTACAGAATGAAACTATGGCCAATTTTAAAAGTGTATAGTTTTTTTTACTCACACTGTATCTATAGGGTCAATCTATAAATTTGGGGTCCACTTTTTTCCTGTCCCTGTAACATCTGACATCTTGATTTGATAATTTAGATACACTCCTAAATGCAGTCATCCTCTTCGAGTGATTATGAATAGCAAACCACTTACCCAACAAATACAAATTTATGGAAAATAAAGCACCAAGGGTAGGACAAAAGTGTCACACTCTGAACCCTAAACTTATAGAATGATCAAAGAATTCATGTCTTGCAACATCATATTAGAGCATGTACATGTATATGTAAATTTGTTCGAGTTTTTTTGTGCCAAGTTTCACCCCCCAAAAATAGATTTTGTTTTTAAATTGTAATTTTTCTAGTTATACAAAAGATAATCACTTTTGTATGAAACATTGCGCAAAAAAGTTCCATCCATGCTTATTAGCCCTCCTGCTATCTGAACAGTCACAGACAGTCAAACAAATCAATCCTCCTCCCTGCCATGCCTTTTACACAGGCTAGTCACCAACAGTTAGATCATATTTCAAGCAAGCACTGTGACTAGCCAAATTCAGTCAACCGACAAAAGCAGGCAAGTGGCTGGCACAGCTGGCTTATCAATCACCTACAGTCAAAGCATAGCTGAATCAAGTAATCAGTCACAGCCAGTCAATCCTGCTTCATGTAGACAGGCAGCCTGTAACTGTTGAAAACAGTTACTTGGTTGGCTTTGACTGAAAGGACAACTTGTTTCAGGTTGTATGTTTGCACACTTGCTGCTTGCATAGGAGGGTTAATTAGTTTACAACTCTCAGATTGTTTGCGGCTGACAATAATTCAGGCATGTATTTCATACATTATGGGCACAAAACAACCCAAAATAAAAGCATATTTTTTCAGAGAAAATGAATAAAATGAAAATGCATAAAACTGCTGCAAACTGCTTTGACTGGATTGACCCGAAATATAAAAAATGTAAAAATGTAAGCAGCCTGACATTTCGAACTTAACAAGTTCTGGCTTCATATTTTCAGAGGGTTGAAAGTGTCTACAATAGACCAAAAAAGAGGAGGTTTTCCATCTTAATATTCAATGCAAAAATGAAAACACTTACAAAATGAAAGTGTAACTTCATGAAATTGTTGTTTATTTGAAAAATTGAAAATTGTTAGAAGAAAAAAATCAAATAATGTTGAAGAGCATGGATGGAGCAACCTTACGTGTAACTCTCAGCCTGAAAAATGTCTGTCAATAGATACCCACCTCCTGATCCAGGGACCTGGGAAGCCCCACCCCTGGTTCTGCCCCTCCCTGGGGCAGGCATGGCTTCAGCATCACCACTAGGCATGGGTGTGGCAGGCACTGCCTCCCCAGGCCGCCGGGGCAGGCCCTGCTGCTGCCCTGCAGAGGCCCGCCCACGACCGCGGCCTCCCCCCCGACCACGGGCACGCCCGCTGCCAACGCCTTGCTGACTGTCAGCCATGTTGGGTGTTTCCAAACTTCTTTGCTCTGGGGAGGAACAACAGCTCATGTGGTGATGAACAGAGGTTTCATCAATTATGGATGGTAAAACAGTGAAATGGCAACACCAATGAACAGTTACAAGCATTTGTTTAATGGGACACAAAGTCCTGAAGTTTATACTTTAGATTGCTTACTTATCCTATTTTAACAGTCTAGTTGAAAGAAAACTAACCAAATGTCTTACTAAGAAATGGTACCCCCAATAAGAGGTTTTTTGCGTATTAAGAAAGAGAATGAAATGCTCCTTACCACCAATCAGATATTGTGTTGACAAGTTATGACAATTTAAAGTTCACTCTCATAAACGTGTCAAATAAAGTAAAGCACTGAGAAAAAGGCATTTAAAGTTTCAAGTTTGTATTTGTGAAAATGAAAGATGCCAATTATTTTTTTTCCATGAAAACACTTGCACTCCACAACTTGTAAGGTATTTCTATAAAATATATGTAGTAGACATATCAAAGATTACAAATATAAATAAATCTGAAAATCCCCCCTCCCCAAAAAAAACCCACTCCCATTCAGTTTTTTGGTGGCATTTTTTCCCCGCCACGGCCCGTGTCCAGTTCCGTTGCATTTTGCCAGAATGCACATTCTCTCAATACTCAATGAGCATGTTCTTAACAATGCTCAAGTCAACTTACCTTTTTACAGATGATTTTCTTTGTTGCTTGGATCACAAAGAAGCTGGATGTTGTCCACCATTTCTATCTGCAAGAACTTTTTCCAGGATACAGTAGGCCCCTCAGCTGGATACATCCAGACAATTAACTGTGGGAAAGATGAGAATATGAACTGTCAGGAAATTGACAACTAACAAGTACAAAGAAACACCAATTTTTCACTTAAGTACTAATTTTAAATTAAAATTACTACATGTACTTACATGTAGGTGGAAACTTGGTGTTCTTTGTACATATTAGTTGTCAATTTCCTGACAGGTGAGTTACCACTGAGTTTACTAGTCACAAGCAAACTCAATGGTAACTCATCGCACATAGGTTTAAAAATTAAAATTGAACATTCTCCAAAAAGGCACACAAGGGACTGTTGGACTCTGATTATTGGTGGTATGCCTCAGTTTACTAGTGCAGTACTCATCCTAACAGATTCCAACAAACCCTGGTGTTGGAGTTTGGCTGGATGGGTATTGTTAGGGTTAAAGTAATCTTACTGTACCGATGTAAAGTACCAACAATTAGGTTCTGTATTAAAAAGGCCTAATCGTCTCTGGCAGGTAGTGTGGAATCCGGTGACCAGATAGTTTTCACAAGCCTGACTTGCCCAAGCCTTGCACCACTGCAGAAAATGGCTGCCGCCAGATTTGTCTATAGCGCTGGCCCTTACCCAGTATTATGTGGGTACTTCCAAGTCACTGAAGTGAATCGCTTTATGCCCTATACAGCCAGCTAATATCCAGAATCAGACAATGGAGAAAAAAAAATGGGCATCAAGAAGCCACATCTGGTCACATAGAAAACCACTCACTCTCAACAATATTGAGGAACAGGACGGGTCCATTCAAACTGTTTCTTAAAGTGGTCGTTCCTGATAGTGATTGTGCATTATTATAGAATTTACTATTTCGGGAGCCAAAGAGGATGTGTGTTATAGCCAACTGTTTGTTATAGCAGCGTTCATTATAGTGGTGGTTCACTGTATGGGGATGCCTTCCCTCCAACAGTTGAAGTTAAAGACCCCCCCCCCACATTATACCCGACTTACAATGTAATAGGATCCCAAATCTTAAGACAAACTGCTAATGGAGAACCAGGATCTCATCTCTGAGGCTTTTGTACTTTGATACTGTGAGATGACTCAAGGTTTTAGGCAGAACAAGACCCTGACTGGTAACATTCTCGTCAGTTTAAGCACAAATACAGAAATAAATTAAGGCCTGGTAAACATTACATCCTACATTTGGATAAAAAATAAGGGTAATGAGCTGGTAAAATATATATTTTCAGCTCCAAGTTTCATAAGCCAGAAAAAAAATAGGTGGGATGATGGCCATGCAACTCATTAATTTTTTTTTTTCTTTCTCTCAAAATTAAGAATTTTCTTTCTTTATCGTTTTAAAATCAAATCCTACAATACATGTAATTGCAGAATATTTCATCTTTGCTATCTGATTCGTGGCTCTGACGGATTTTTTTATGGAAATAAAGTCCAAAATTGCAATAGGTCTGATTCCCGTCTCCTGAATACAAAGTCACAATGACAATGTAAGCATTTCTAAACGGTGGAACCAGACAAAGATTTGTCATGGTAACAATTTGAAAGTCCAAAACAACACTCACTGTGCATGTTCAGCGTAATGCTGGTACAACATGCGCACGTAATGTGAAGTGGGCTGAAGATGGCGATGGGGCATAGTGGAAATGGGCAAAAGGCGAAGGGACAAGGGGCGAAGTGGAAATGGTAGGGAGGCCAGCGAAACGACCCTTCAGAAATTTATATCTAGAACTGAATAAAAAATACCTATTTTCAATCAACCTTTTTTCCCACTTTTGTGCATCAAATTCAACATTTGTGTGGTTAAATCTTGCTTACTTGGAGTTCAGGGTCGACTTGAAACCTTGTACAAGAAAAAAAACACTGGTCATTCTGATGTGCGGTTCGGTGAATTTGGCCAAGCATAGAGGGGTGCAATTGTTTCGTTTTCGAAGTCAACAAAAAATAACATTTTTTGTAACAATTATTTAATTACAAAATGCATGCGTAAGGAGTCGATGAAACGTATATGAAACAGTATTTTCTCGGACACTTAGACTTTCAGGAGGACATAATTTTTTGTTAACAAATGATGGCGCATTGGTGCGGCACAGCCGATTTATATGCCTACCTGTATTTAGTCTGGCAGGCGGAAACTACGATTATGTGTACGCACGTATGTTCTGTGTTGCCGTGTTGTCCGAAGCGTGATTTGAACTTAATAAATTTGGGGTGATCGTATAGATACTGGCCCAGTTCCCTATAACAGAACAAAATCCACATTTAACTTATTTGACTTACCAAACTAGTTGGCGACTTTATGAACTTGCAGGCATATGTCACAGATAGAGGGCAGGGTTTTGAATTTTTGAGGAAATTTGAGGATAAAATGACGAAAAATTCAACACGAAAATATAGATGGCTATCACCGCAATGCACTGTGAAAGCGCAAGGCGCGCTGACTTGCACAGTACCAACTGTAAACATGGTAAATTCCGTACGAAAATCGTAACTTCTACCCCAGGAAACTGTTGAAGATTACAAAAAAAGGTGTCACTAGAATTGGGAAAAGTCTTCTTCAGGTTGAAAAGGTCATTTTTGAATAATAAAAAACACCCTTGACTCTAATTTGATCGAAACTAAAGAGGGACCCGTAACGACAGGATATCGCGGTAGTTTGCCCATGTCTGATGGCGTGCAGTCTGGCACTGTCTGGTCGCAACACGGTGTGGGCCTGGACATAGCTCGGACATCGTGCGATTTTCCAGAAGAAAATCATAACTTTTTTATAATGAGATAAAAAACTGATTTAAAAATCAACTTATTATAATAAGGATTCTTAGCTGGAGTTACCCAGCCCTAAATGTTATCATTGGGTTGTCATTTAGGGCTGGAGGAAGTTTTTCAGCGTTGGCAGGTCCCAAAATTTTTTTCGAAAATGTGCACTTTTGTCCCTGTTACACACTAATTTCAACTGGAACTCACCCAAACCTAGCCTGGAATAACCATTACACAGGTCCTTGAAGTAAAAAACGATCCACGATGAAGATTCAGCCTACAATTGCAGTGAAAAAAGGAGGCAGAAGAGACAACCGTGCGGTCATGCTGAGGACCATGGTGGGACCTGCCAACGCTGCTGGTTTAAGTGAAAAACTTCCTCCAGCCCTAAATGACAACCCAATGATAAAATTTAGGGCTGGGTAACTCCAGCTAAACAATTCTAATGATATTAAAAATTTTGAAGTTTGGAATTTTTTTTTAGAGTTAAAAATATTTGTAGTGTCTATCGTTACGACAGCTGTAATGCAATTTTTAAATACTATCGTTACGGCATGTTAACGTATATCAGATTAACAGAACACTTCGGAAGCTCAATAGATACAGACGCTTACTCCTAGAACTATGAGCGGAGCCTCATAGACACAGAACCCCGCAAAATTGTTTGCAGCACAAAACACCAATTAAGCACAAAAACGTCCATCAAAACAGAGACATTTCCCACAGAACCGCTGCACAGATTGCCCCTAAACTCCTTACTACACCTCATGACATATAATACTCATGTATATGCCCTTTCCGCACTGAGCCATCCTGACACTTAAAACATGCACACGTTGTGATCGATCGATGATTTTCGGTTCGCTCGGAGCGCGCCGCAGGGGGTACGGTACTTGCACTTGCACTTGTACGCATGCGCATATAATGATTTCGCTTGTACTGAAACCCCCGCGGCGCTCCGAGCAAACAGAAAATCATCGATCGATGATCATAATGTGTGCACATTTCAAGTGTCAGGTTGGCTCAGTGCGGAAAGGGCATATTTTTCATAATTTTGGCCCAAAAAAACTACAGCATCCAGCGATGATTGTTCTGCGCACATTACGTGAGTATGTCATGACTTGAGGTATAGTACGGAGTTTAGGGGCAAACTGTGCAGCGGTTCTGTGGGAAATTCTGCATTCAATAGGGGACGATGAACAATAGAGGACAATAGGGTCCCCAATTCCCGAGAGGTTCCCTATTTGGATTCGGGTACAAAACATATAGGAGGTTGTCCTAAAAAGTTAGGACAAACAAAAGAGGGACAATATAGGTCCCCGGTTGCAGGCAAATTCACACTTGTGTGCGTGTACATACACTGGCTTGTGGGGTACCGGAACAATGGGAGGTACCCCACAAGGAATGCCCACCGACTTGCGGGGTACCGGTTTGGTACCCCACAAGTTTTTCAAGAAATAGATATATGGATTGTACTAAAAAACTAGGAATTTCCAAGGTGGGTTGATCCGTCGCAAATGGAAGAGTTTTAGAAAAGGGATATTAATTTCATCCCAGGACATTAACTCTGGTTGAAATAAGAGCATTTTGACATTAGTGTGCGACGTTGCAAAATTTTAGTACATGAGAATAAAGGAAGTACCCTACTTCTATGCCTATGTAAGCGTGTGTGAGTAGGTGTGGGTTTCGATCTGACCTTCAACCATTATTCTTAAGTGTCGCATCCCGTGCAACCTCCGAGATTAAAATTTTGGGGTTGGGTTTCTTTAACAGGTACCCAGGTACCCATGTTTTTTTCAGTCGGGTACCTGATTCCCAAAATAGCACACCCTACTTTTCAGCCACAGTTCAAGTTCATAGTAGATTGTGTCATACCTTTGATGACATCAAAGCTACATCAAGCTCCTGGTGCCTTCCGCCGTCATAGTTTAGGCTGCTGTGGTTTAGCTTCACGAGATGGTAATCTCTCTCCATAAGCCCAGCCCAAGACTTCTCCACCTAAGATACAATCAAATGGATAGACAATGTACAACTTCTGTCAGCATGGTTTTAATGAAATCGCTGTGGTAAGAGGGGAGGTACGGTACTTTTTGACCTGTGCACCTACTTTGATAGAGAGTGTTTCCAAAATGCTATATCCGTTTAAAAAATGTGAAAAAACTGCACGGTTATGACAAATTTATACACGTATATACATGTATAACAGCCATAATTTCTAAACTATATTTTTCATATATTCTTGAATTAACCCTCCTGCTATCTGAACAGTCACAGACAGTCAAAAACTAAATCCTCTTCCCCTTCCAAGCCTTTTATACAGTCAGATCATAATCATTTCAAGCAAGCACAGTGAGTAGTCATATATTCACTCAACAGACAAAAGACAAGCAGTAGGCACAGCTGGCTTATCAATCACCTACAGTCAAGGCACAGCTGTATCAAGTTACATAAACAGTCTCAGCCAGTCAATCCTGCTTTATGTAGTCTGGGAATTTTTAACTGTTGAGAACAGTCACTTGATTGATTTTGACTGAAAGGAACACTTGGCACAGAATGTATGAGGGTTTCACAACTGGCTTTAGGCAGCCAGGAGAGGGCGGGATTCCAAGAGGAGATGAAAAAGCATTTGCAGCTTTTTTGGAAAACAAAATTCTTCATATATGTTTGAAATCCTGACTGAAGAAAAATGTCTTTAATTGCAAAAAAGTACATGTATAAAGTGACTATTGTTAAGCACATTAAAAACAGCTCTTGTGAAAATTGGAGTCTATTTTTGAGGGAGGGGGGGGGGTTTCCTCTTCTGTCCCAAACTTTTGTGTGAATTGATGGATTTTGTAATAGGTAAAAAATAATATTCATTGAAGGGCTCGACAAAAAAAGGCTAAACCCAACTTGTACCTGTTTCTGAGTGACCTCTGGCTCCCAGGAGGTGCAGAAGACGACATTGGAATGATCCACACGTTCCTGGTTACTGAGCTGGGATTCTATGCGCTGTCTGGCCTTCTCCTCTGGTAGACGATCCCTGTCTAGAACACGATTCAAGGCCTGGCAAAAAAACAAAATTGAAAGAAGATGAAAAAGAATAAACTACAAGGACCATGTCACCAAAGTAAAAATGCAGAAACAAATCTTACTCTAGTTATAATTTACACATGTTAAGCTGAGTATCACATAATGAGAATGGAGTGTAATTTCAGAGTGACTGAGAAGTGGACATGACTGTTTATATTGTAGTGAATGATTCATGTGCATTTTTTAAAATTTTGCACTAAATGTGGGCTAGTCCAATAATAACACTGTGTGCAAAGATGCTCAAAGGGGCGTGGTCTTGTCATAATGAATGAGGTGTGACCTATCTCATCCTTTTGAATAATGCATGACCACAACTTATAGTAGAGCTAATCCACCCAAACTTCACTCATCAATGGAAGGCGTGACTGTCCTCATCCTTGCGAATTATGCATGACCACAGCTCATAGCAGAACCCAGCCCATCCATCTTCAATCTCCTAATTAGGGGTGTGACTCACCTCATCCTTATGAATAATGCATGACTAGACCTCATGGCAGAATCCGTCCCAGCTTCAATCACCCAATGAGAGGCGTGACTCACCTCACCCTTATGAATAATGCATGACCACACCTCATGCATAACCCATCCCACCTAGCTTTAATCACCCAATGAGAGGCGTGGCTCACCTCATCCTTATGAATAATGCATGACCATGCACACCTCATGGCAGAACTCATCTTACCCAGCTTCAATCTCCCAATGAGAGGTGTGACTCACCTCATCCTTATGAATAATGCATAACCACACCTCATGCCATAACCCATCCCACCCAGCTTCAATCACCCAATGGGAAAATAAAGTAGCTCACCTCATCCTTATGAATAATGCATGACCCAAAGAGCTATATTAAATTACTAGAGCACTAACTCATCGTTCTGCACGCGGAGACGTGATGGCAAAAAAGCATCTGCAGTGAATACTCATTTGCTGATCGTGCATTTCGGTTTTGGGCGTATTGGCTTCGATAACGCACCAATATGGAAAACAAACGCAGATATGCAAATAGCCGTACAAAAGCCGTACAAAATTTCTAGGTTTCCATAGCTTTGTGCACAAACATGGATGCGCCCAGCAGGCATTACTTTGTACACGAAGCTAGCGCTCTAGTAATTTAATATAGCTCTATGGCATGACCACACCTCATGGCAGTACCCATCCCACACAGCTTTGATCTATCAATGGGAGGCGTGACTCACCTCATCCTTATGAATAATGCATGACCACACCTCATGGCAGTACCCATCCCACACAGCTTTGATCTCTCAATGGGAGGCGTGACTCACCTCATCCTTATGAATAATGCATGACCACACCTCATAGCACAACCCGTCCCACCCCGCTTCAATCAGCACGGCTGCATCCAGCACACACACCAGGCATCCTCCATCACCCAGGACCCTCAATCTCCGGCCAGACGATCTGGTTCAGCCGGTCCAGATGGGATCGGTCTTGGAAGACTTTAGCGCCGAGGGCATGCCTGTTGATGCTGCCATCAGTGCCAACAACATCTGCAGAACAAATACGTTTTACACCCTTCACAGTCGATGATTTCAAAATAATCAAAATCACTGACAAATTTTCCCGCCGGTCCCAGAATTTTGTTGACGGTCTCAGACAGGTCCAGCCTATAGTCCTTGTTATACCGCCCAGATTCACCGACTGACAGTCACCTTTGAATTAGCCTGGCTATTTATCTCACTGACTGACTTACACCAGTCTAGGAGCAGCTTTACGAGGCTTGTCTATTCATGTAAATCATGTTTCATCTACAGTGTAATTCATCGAACAAGATTGGAAGCCATTTTCTAGTGGTGCCATGCCCGCGCGCACGAAGCACACTTTCTTTAAGACGAGACGCGTGTGCATTGGTAGCCCTATTGGTCCAAGGACCCCCGAGTGCGTGCATACTACCTGAGCGCGACTTGCACGAGCCTGGTGCTACCGCTGTGCCACCTCAGAAAATGACTGTCGTTGCATTAGTGGATACCAGATGTCCATTAGTCTGACACAGCTCATTACTAGTAACTTCATGATACATGTGTTGGCAGTAAGTCAAGTCTCCATGCGAGTGGTGACAGTGGATCTCTCATTTCCATCACGTAATACCACTACAGCTTATTCTACAAACTTTTCAGCCATTTTCAATCCAATGAACGGGAGGTTTGCGGTAACACCATGTGAATGATAGCTCTTTGGAGTTGCATGGTTTTGAAAGAAACCAGTTAACTGCAGTTGTTTTAACTTGACCTTTTGAACAGTATGCTCTGTTCGTCATCAATCTCCTGTTGACAAACAGAGCACACTATTCGAAACGTCGAGTTAAACCAACTGGTTCTTAAGTACGATTTGAGGCTTTGCATGGTGGAGACACTAATGAATGAAAGGTTTGCGGAAACACCATGAGGGAATAATTTTTTCAAACTTTCAAACCAACTGGTTCTTCTCAGAACCACAACAACATTACAAAGAGATATCATTCACATGGTGTTACCGCAAACCTCCCATTCGTTGTTCATGTCCACCATGCAAACCTTCAAATCTCATTTTCAATCCAACGACGAAAAGAATATGTTTTCCGCTCTGTGAATGTTGTCCACTCAGCTTTACTAGACTTGCCTTATCTTGTTGAAAAATACTTTGGAGTTTTTTTCCAGCACCCACCTTGTCCCAACTCAGTCAGCACTCTCCTGAATCCCTGCGTGCCTGGTAGGTAGGCCTTGTGCCCCAGCTTATCACAGTCAATCACTGCAGCACCGAGCCCCTCCAGCCGTCTACATACTGAAGACTTCCCGCTGGCTATGCCGCCGGTCAGACCAATCACGTATGGGGTGCCAGGTAGATCTTTATTCTAAGGGGAAATTTTATAAAAGTTGACAACCATTTCAACCATTTTCGAAGTTTTTTGTTCAAACTTGATTGAGTCCGCATTCCATTCAGCCCTGCATACTGCACATGTGGGCACTGTGCATAAATACCAAATTTCATTGTAACAAAACCCAATAAAAATTAGCACTCTATCTCCTTTGTTCAATTCCTCAAGCCATTTAAAATATTAGGTTTTTACATTTGTTTAACCATTTTATAACTTTTTGTAATTATGCATATCTTTTTCAGAATACGAGTTTATAAAGCAGTTTTGTAACGTCATAGGTTGTATTCTCATAAATGCAATTGAAGCTTCTCCATACTATTTTTTTCAACTCAATTAATAAGTTCTTAAGGTTTTTATGTTTGTGGATACATCTGTAAATCAGTGTTATGCTGCAAAATGTGGATTTTTAATTAATAAACCACATGAGTTTAATTTGAACTGAGTAAAATGTTTCTTTGTGGTGATAAACATGCCTATTCCTTGATTAACAGAGCGAAGCACTTTACAAAAAGGTCCAACCTTTGGCCTAAAAACTTACTCCGTGGGTTGCTTGAGCAGTGTTCCCAGGAGTCCAATCCTTTGTGTTGAGGAACTTATCTTGGCTTCTTCATGTGCAGCATGATTGTTGTCCTCTACCAGAGATATCTCATGTACGTCTAGTACACACAGACCCTGAATGCAAGATTAAAAAAAAAGAATTTTTAAAGCCTGACAATAATACTCTCAAATCTTGAAATACGTAGTCAAAATATTTTCTTCAAATTTGTTCCTTTTTGTGGGGATGGGGGTGAAAGGGGTGCATTTTAATCTCTTAAAAATTTTTATTTTGGTATTGCTACAATAATTTTAAGGTAGAGTATGTCATTTGTCATTCAAGCATTTTTTTCATTTAAAGCAACAAAAGTGCCCAAAATCTAATTAAGGGTGCTTAATAACTAACCTGATTAAATTTTAGCTCAGTGAATTGCACCCGAAATCAGCATCCGGGACACGTTCTCATTCAGCCGATTGCAGCTACATGATGTCACGTACTGAACCGAAGCATTACAGCAGAAAACTATTGACAGCATCTCCACCTTTCTTGGTCTCCTCACTGACCACAATGCACCTCATGTCTGGATCCACCACGCTGGGGCCGTAAGGATCCGTGATGGGCACGATGGAGTCTGACTGTAAGATGCGTGGTTTGATATCGTGGATGAAGTCACGGACAGACGCGATGCGCGCATCCATTGGCTGGATCAACTCTGGTAGTGTTTTCCCTGCAATCAGATGAGGGGGATATATTCAGGTGTTGTATTAATATAAAATACTGAACACTTATACATTTATGACCTACTCTCAGCCAATGAAGAGAAAAAAAATGTAATAAAGGTTGTTTTATACTTGATTTGATGCGTTCTTACGTTGCAGCATGGATATGACTGTCACACCAACTGTAATCTTCTCTTCTGCTCTGATAGCCGACTCACTCAGCAGGATTTTATGTCCAGTGTGGATGCGATCGAACGTTCCACCTAGAACCGTCGCTTCCGTAATTCTTAACCGGCAAACAGTCTATTTCGCTAGCATCAGTATCCACTGGTGCAGAACAGTTGACATTCAACCAGACAGACTCTGGTATGATTTCCACAACAGGATTTGTTGGGAATAAAAACCACGACTTGAGTAACGCTTGGAGTTTGTTTGGAGAGGAGCAGTCAGTCAGTACCAGACCGACTTATCCTTTGAGAATTTTAGTGGGAGGCAAGGTGCCAGACCGGTTACTTATATTGTTTACGAGTACTCTGACATCTTGCCCTTGTAGCTGAGCTGCGCCGACTTGGCGTAGATTGCAGTGATGGTTGCGCAGACATCTTGCGTAACGGGAATCGGTCTCTGTTTGTACGGTTCCAGTTCGTGGTCAAGGCCGGGATGCAGCTGTACGTAGAGTGTTTCCAATATGCAGCTGGCAGCATGGCACAGTATCGGACTGATTCATTTGATGAGTTGGTTTATCGGCGAGGTTAAGATGAGAAGCCCCGTTTTGCAGCTGGGGAGCATTTTGGTTCACTGGAAAGCACAGCTCAAACCTGCACTGAATAAAAATGGAATGAAAAAAAAAAATCAGATATTCAAATGTTGTTAACCATGGAGGAATAGCTCTCTTTGAATCACTTGCTCAACTGAAAACAAGAAAAGTAGTTTAGAATTTTTCTTCTGGGGTTCCGTTTTACAAAGGCTGAATTGTGAGTACCATTGTCCATTGGAGGGGGATAAAAATACAGACCTGTCAGGGGTGGATCCAGGAATTTTTGCAGGGGGGGTCAGGCCCTTCAGATTTTTTTATCAGCAAATAGTGCTGAAATGTACACAGGTTTTTTTTTCTTGGGACATTCTGGGGGCTGGTACCATTCTTCCATTTTCACAATAGGGGAGCTGTTCAAAACCGACGATCAGGCACACTATATCACACAATAGTGTATATACCCCCTTAACCCCCCCCCCCTTAGTCAGGATAAAATTCACACAAGACTCATTTGAAGGCTATTACAATGTATCGAAAATGAAGACCCCTAAAACGAAGACCGAAGACCCACTCGAAAATAACGAACCACTCGAAAACGAAGAGCTGTTTTCGAGTGGGTATTCGTTTTCGAATACACCAAAAACATGAAAAAAAGCACTTATGGTTGCTAATCATGGTAACATGATACAACTGTGCTTTTATTTGGTTGCCAAATTTGCAGGGGGGGGGGGCGACTGGCCAACCTCCCCCCCCAGCTACGCCGCCATGCGAGGTATTTTTTCAATGCAATCCTTGCCACTGCATGCACCTTGTGTCCCATTTACAATTTACTCCTATTTTCCATTTTAGTTTTGCATATTTTCAGTTATTTTTGGTGACTTAAGCCTCAATGTTAAAATTATTTTAGCACCAGAAGTTGGTAGAATTTTGGATATAAAACTATCCCAAGAGCGTTTTCATATTCCATTTTCAAAACAAAAGATAGGAATGTATCCAACGTATCAATGGAAAGCAAGTGTTCTCACCACAGGGGAACGAGTGGGGAGCTGGATTTTAAAGTGGGGGGGGGGGGGGGGTGATTTCTGTAGCATCGTGGGGGGGGGGGGAGGAGAGAAAGACGGGAGGGGGGAGAGGGGGATGTACTATTTTCAATAGGGGAGGGGAGGTGTGCAGACGGGTTTTAAGCCACTGATAAAACATTGGCTGGTTTTAAACACATTTTCTTTTAACTGTTTCGGTCCAACATGTTAAAATCAAAATGTATAGCTCAGTGCACAAACAAAACAAGTTTGTTGAAGGCAACGGCTAACCTATGACCCATCTCCCTCATTGAAGTAGGACTGGGAATTTATGGATAATAGGGTAATCGGTATCCGATAAACACAAGTGCTGGATTGCGTTTGATTGAAACACCAGTGCTGGATTGTGTTTGATTGAATATCCGTAACAGAGGACAGGGGTGATGGTGGGTTTGAACCATTAAATTCTGAGCAAACCAGAAAGTCACACACTATACACTCTTCCTCACATACTCATCTTAAGGTAAAATGCAATACAACAGAATGTGACTGACACAAAATGATCACACCAGAAACAATTGTGAGATACTAACATCATGTATTTTAATATGGAACCAGAATGCAATCCATATGTCTACTCCATCAGGCTATTACTGGGAAAGGAGAATATACCATACTCAAACAAATTATTTGTTAGTCTGAGAGATAAAGCAGACATGGTATATGTTACGTATGGGTCCATAAGGGGACATTTTCTTGGACTTTCCCTACTTGCAAAAAGGAGAATTTTCTAGTTATTGTTAAAAGTAGGTCCATTAATGTGTAAATATAGATGTTAATAAATAAAGAGAAATTTGCAGTATTTTCAGCCACTGCAAAATACAGACAGTGAATTTGACATTACACTCATTTACATCCAAATATGTCAAAATATTCTTTGGGTTTTTTAATAATAAAAAAATGAAGAAAAAAATGAAAACAATGTAAAGCATTTTGTCAGTTGCCCTTTGTGGTTCATTTGAAGATTTGAAGGAAAAAGAAGCATATCCTTTATTTTCATATTTCATTTAGCAGTTTTAATTTTCAACGAATACAATCCCGAAAACTATGAAAATTTGCACCAAACTTTGTATAAAATATAAGCAAAATATAACATAAACTTTCTTTGAAAAAAATTATTTACAAAACCGTTACTAATTTGTAGTAGGAATAATCCCAAAAACTACTCCGAGTAAAACTTCAATTGTTAACGTTTGACATGTTGTACAATAGTCTTCAGACCATCCGGCCAATGAGGCTTCAAAAATATAATTTTCTTTACAAAATGTACATGTATTTACCATCTTAGACTGGAACGATCACAGAACTTCTCATTATTTTAACGTGATACATAAATACAACTGTTGTCAGGCCAACAAGTATCAACTTGGAAATGGTCCAAACCACCCATACAGCCTCAGAAATCAACAATTTTTTCTAGAGGGGGCAAAACATGTTTTTTTTCCCAAAAAAATCCTGTATTTCTCAACATATTCTCGATTTCTCAGTATAAGAGGGGGCAGGGACATTATGCCCCCCCCCAACTCATTAAATTAACACCACTATGACTTCGCACCTCTTTTTCTTTCTTTTTTGTTGCTTTTCCGGGGGGGGGGGGGGGGGAGGGAGCAACTGCCCCTTGCCCCCCCCCCCTTGCGACGCCCATGATCAACGAATACCATATATCCACTGGGTTTTTAAATTAGTGACGTTTCCATGCACATGTGTAAAGATTCGAGGTCTACAGTAAGTTTGTTTGCCACTTCAAAAGTTTTCCAACGTGGAATCTCCAGTTTTTCACAAATAGTTTAAGTCAGAGAATAGACTTGGAACTGTAGATTTGTGCAAGATTTGCCCCGTCCATTCTTAGCACGAATCTACAGTTCCTTGTCTATTCTCATTGACCCAAT